ATGCCTAGTAGAAAATCTGAGCTAGTAAACCTACTTTCTTACTAGTCTGGTGGGCCAGTGATCAGTTACAAACTATTGTAATGTATGCTTGGCCAAGAACATATAATAATATGTAATATAGTCAATGGGCTAGTGAAATATACAGTAAACTAGCCCAGTGGGCTAGTCACCAAAGCAAGTAAATTCGAGTCCCGCCCAATTTTACATGCTAATTTGATTTTCCAATTCGGATTCAGTGTAAATGTACTTTCACCCTGTGGGAGATTTTGGGTCATCAGCTCAGATCCAGCACCATGTAAGTTTATACAACGAGTATGTAACAAATTTCTCATTATTTTAAAATTCTACTCACTTTTTTGCAGCCATTTTGTGACTACCAGATACAAGATGCTTTATAGTCAAATAATAAAACCGGTGTTATCTGCAACAAAATTTAAAAATTCAATTGAATGATAATTAAAAAATAATAATTAAATTATTCTGTGGTAATAGTGGATATATTCTTGTCTAAAGTGGATTATATTTTTGTTTTCCTAGAGGGAAAAAATGTAGCAACATTTTAACATTAGTAATTGCTACTGAAAATCATGGTCTCAAAAGCTTAAACAATGCATGTCATTATGCTCTTTAAAATGTCAGTCAAGCTTTAAACTGAAATTTACAGCTTGTGGTAAAATGCCAAACCATAGCTACAAACATCTACTCCAAAATCAAAGTATTATCAAAGGACTGCATAGTAAAAGAGTAAATATATACCTAGGGTCATTAATGTCATACAGTTTGTGGTAGCAGGTGATGTATTGAAGATTTGAAACCACAATTCTCAAGTGGTTCCAAACATTAAGATAAACAGTCACTTCAGATTTGATTCCATAGCTAGCCCAGCCTATGAATGCTGTTGGAGTGTTACCCTTATAAGCTGCAGGCAGTCAAGGCGTGCGCTGTCGGTAAGGAAACCACCGGATTCTGGGAAGAGTGCCAACAACAAATAACTATGACATTTAATAGTCACAGGCTAAAACCATGTAATACCTACTGAAATGTGCGTTAATACCTGCAGATAATGGGACCGTGCAAATGTATTCGGAAATTGGTTGAAGAGTACAAATTTGTCAGATAGCCAGACTTGAACAACAGTGGTGCGAGGAAACACGACATTCCTCAACTCAATGACGTTTGTCTAGTGAAAGCTAATCATGTCATGATCTAAAATCAGATGGCCTGATTTAAATTTTACTGATAGTTACTGAACATTGTTATTATTTGCTACTAGAGTATAAAGCTTGTATATATTATCATGAAAATTAACAACTGTCATCTCAGATTTTATATTAAAGACGATACTGTAAGCTGTTTTAGTGTTTGTAAATTTAATTGACCTTTGACACTATTCATGAAAAGCGAAGACAAAGACTAATCCTGTCGCCGATCATGCCTTTAGCAGGCCTATAAATTGTGTGTTAACAATTGTGTATGATTTTGGTAAACATTACAATTATAATATATTAGACTAAAAATTGATCAAGCATAGTGACAATTGTCGGTTGGTAATGTTTTTTTAAAATTTTATTATACGAGTAGGCCTTAGGCTCAATTATACTACTAGGGTTCATTGACATGCACCCAATATTTTGGTAAATGGTAACCTCAGGGGTAAAATCTATAGCTACACAGGTGAGCAAAGTGCAGCCCGTGAACATGAATTAAAAACTCTTTTTACAGCCTGACACCGATCATCCGTAAAAAGTAATATTAACCTGAAAATAAAGTGGTGTTAAAGCAGTGCTCATAAGTTTTTGGAAGCACACTAGAAACATCAAAGTTTGGGTGCAGCCTCGGTGTTAAAAAAATTCACTTCGGCCCTCCAACCGATTTTTATGCCCACCCCTCAGCTAAACAATCAAATTATATAATTAAAGATGTAAAAGTATTTAATTATCACCGAAGACCTACTAATCCCTGATAAACTCAGCAGGCAACCAAGGATTACACTGACTAGCAAATTAAAAACAAGGAAACAATTTACATTCCACAATAATATCACTTTTAAAATACCTTTATAACATTGTGAAAACTATATTTTTATTTCTAAACGAGCTTGAAAAGCTTGAATGAATCACAAATTATTACTACATTCATTGTGGAATTTCAATAAACAAACCAACATTATTTATTTGGCAGTAAATCGCGATTTTTGGACATGTCATCAGATTAAAAATTTCTGCTTCTCATTTAAGAAAGAAAAATTTAATTTCTAATCTGTTATAACGTACCTTTTATCTAGACGCCTATCCTAGGCCTGCTAACAGTGCTATTTTCTGGTATGTTTACAACACAAATTCGCATTAAATTAATCTGTAAATACCAGCCGTAGTGAGAACTCTTGGTGCACAGCTAACATTCAAGCTTAAGTTGAATGGCATAAAATGTCTGTACTCTAAGACTAGTAACTCAATGAAGCACGAGTACCAATATACGCCGATTTTTATTAATGTTCGAGTTGGAATGCAAAAAAAACACAAGCCTTGATGTTGAGTGAAAATAAAGATTAAACATACATTTGATAAAACGACGTTTATTAATTGAATTTAAGTGGATTTCATGCAAAAATCTAGTTATCTTTTACCGAAATTCGGTGGGGCGGAGTACCGAAGAACAAGCCCGAAACAAGTCCATTGTCTACCCAGTGAAATTTCTTGTCCAACATGCGTTAAGATAGTATAATAAAGTATTTAAATGCACGCCATCATATTGGGATTAAATATACCGATATTAAGTATGTCATCATCAGAAATGATGAATAATAATTTCTCATATTTACATGCGTACAATCGTATTAAAGAAATATATATACCCGGTTGGAAAATGGACAGTTCCAAATCGCCTAATACTCGCACCCACAATACAGTATACGTCTCTCGATTCGCAGGACCTACTGTAGTGGAGGATACATCTTTCTACATAGGACTATTGGTTAGCAAAACATGTGAGGTAAACATTCCGCCGAACGGAGATGTGCGAATTTTAATATTACAGTACACACTCAAGGAATGTTGGCCTAGGCGTAGTGCACTGCCTATGCTTCGCCCTGGGTCTGTTCTCATCTTTATTGTTTAAACTATGATCGATTAAAAGTAAATTTGAGAAATTAGAAATAAAGTCTGATTTTCTAATATTATTTAAAACTTAAAAGATTTTAACTAAAATTCTGAGTACAACAATTTATGGCGATGACATTTTCAATGGCTACTGATCTACACTCTAAATAGGATTAAAGAATTAAACACTCCATATTATGAGTAATTACACGTATCAGCAATGACTTATCAGCATTGGATGATAAGAAAATGGAAAAATCTCTCCAAGCAGTTGTTGTACTTAAATATATAATAATATTATTTAAAGTTTACGTACATATGGTCTTTGGAAGTATAAAAAAGCACAGTAATATTGAATCTGGCTATTTGAATATTATAGGCCTAATATGACATGATATGCCTTGTGTTGTAGCAATGGTATTCCCCCTATATATAGTAGTACTGATTCAAGTTAAAGTATCCTTCTAATTAGGCACATAGAAAAAATGGTTAGATTATCACTCCCGTCTGCGTAAAAAATTTGGGGAATATTGATATAGGAATAAAAAAATTTTTTTTTACAGCATCAATTATTTCAACAGCATAAAAAAATCAATGTAATTTCAAATACATTTTCTTTAAAAAAAAAAAGAATTAAACCAGTTTTTATAAAATATTTACTATATTCTTGCCAAGTAAAAACAGTCCCTCCCTTATCGATAAAAAAAGCACGAACAAATCAATTGTTCCTCATCGAATTTTTTTTTTTAAGAATGATAATATAATAATGTTAATATGTGCCCTTATTGTTGTGTAAAATACATGAAATTCTTTTTTCAAGCCTAATCCTCCTTAAACCGGTAGCACCTCCATTAATTTGAGCTTGTATTTGATTGATTTTTACTGTTTAGGACAGCTGATTTTCTGAGTGATAAGCTTTACAAAACAATTATTTTACAAAAAAAAAAAAAAAAATAGAGAGGCATACACCCCTTACGCCCCCCCCCCTCTAAATCCGCCACTAAACTATCATAACACATATCATTTTTTCTGCTTTATCTGCATAGTGATAACCATCGGCACTGATGTCTGGAGGAGGACTATACTACTTTACTACTTCTACCGGAAGCAGTCGCATAGGAGGACAGCCCCTGTAGTGGACGACGAGAGGTGCTGGTACTGGGTTACACAGACATGAAGGGAGCATTAGGGGTGAAGAAAGTCATTGATCGAGTTCTAAATCCACATATCAAGTGCCCTGAGCATCTTATGTTAGATGGATCTGGCACTATATAAAACTACACTATTGTATTATGAGGAAAAAAGAATAATGATACTTGGGTTGGAGTTTGTAGGGGCCCAATTATCGTAGCCAAGCACCAACTTGAGTGAGGCATAATGTGCCAAGACGGTAGGGAGGATATGGGTTTGGGAGGGGAAATCCCAACACGAGGGGGGGGGGGGGGGCGCGCTAGCCTACTGTAATTATAGGGCACTAAGTCGGGTCCAGGCGCTCCGGTCCTGGAAAGAAGCAAGTAAAACAGCATTTTTGGGGTTCTAAATTAAGGACCATCACCAGTTTCAGAAAGCCACAGTGTTACGCAGCCAGTGGCGGCGCTATCAGGGGAAGGGGTAATATTTCCCAGATAATTTTCCTCTAGTGCCCCCATCCCCAACCCACAATTTATCAGGGAGAAAAAAAAATTGATATTATTTACAAATTAGTAGACCATCTAGGGCCTATGTCTATAATCAATCAAAAAAGCCCATGAAAGCCCAGTATTGTCATATTTTTCTGAGGCTGCGCCCCATGGACTACTATCTTTAAAGACATTCTGAGCGAAGCCCGACCACACCCACTTCGGGCCACCTAGCATATATTTGCCCTAAAAGTAAAATTTTACCTTCCCACGCCCCCAGATTTCAGACGCTGGCACCGTCACTGACACTGTACGCAATTTAACTAGGCCTAGGCTAGGCCATGGACCTAGGCCTAGCTAGGCTAGCCTGCCTAGGCCAAGTCAAAAGCCCACCTAGGCCTACTTAATGTTAAAATAAAAATTGGGCCATCCTCTACTAGGCCTAGGCTGGGCTTAATGCTATGCCTAGGCCTACCTTACGCTAGGTTACGTCGGTTGTTGAATGAAGGTTTTTCTAGGCCTAGGAGGGCCTCCTAGGCTAGGGGCCTCTCCCTTACCTAGCTAGCCTAGCCTCGAGGCTAGCCTAGGCCTCCTTAAAAGACATTTACTATTAGAAAGAAAGCTACTAGGCCTAGGCCTAGGCCTAGGCCCTATGTCTTAGGCCGTACGCTAGGCTAGGCCTATCTATACAGTACTTACAAAACAAAAAAAGGCCCAGAATAATGTAGGCATAGGTAGGCGTCTTAGGCTGCGATTTTATTATGCACTTCGTCACATATTACAAAATGCACAAATTTGTGCCAACACAAACTTTCCACACTCAAGCTCTTCGTTTACAGTTAGTGTCGGCTACTAATTTGTTGGCAGTTATTAATATACGCGCGAAAAACAATAATCCAATCAGATTGGTTTTTGCAACCCGGCTGGAAATGGCGGGAAGGAAACTGCGATACTATATACCGCCCTCTGTGGTATAAGTACACTAAACAACCGCCACAAAAACTCGTTCCTCCATCCCCAGTGCATAGTTCTCTCTCTCTCTACGATCATATATACCAAAAAAAAAAAAAAAGAAAAAAAGATAAATAATAATATTATTGGTGCCTATGTGTTTAAAATAAATATTGTAGTTAAGTTTGTACAGTATTAAGCAAATAGAGCTCCGCATAGTTCACATGAAAATTGTTATACAAAGGTTAGATTTAATGCTTGAAAAAACATTCCATGGCCTGCAGGCCCGAAGCAAATTTTTAAATGCATTAAATCCAACCACACTTTTATGACAGACATTGTTTAGCATCATTTTGTCTTTATTTTAAAGTTTTATTTATTTAAATTACTGTTTTTATATTGTGTTTACCTCAATCTTGTTATTACTGAATTTGTATGATGTTATTGTATTATTATTATTATTTATTTATTATAATTATTATTATTGTTGTCATTCTTTACTTTTTTTTTTAAACTTCTATGACAATTTAGCCTCATTTTTACCGTATTTAATCGTGTACATTTTTATTTTTATAATTGGTTTTATGTAGGGCCACTTTGTCCTTGCCGTTTTGGTTCGTTGCCGTTCTGGTCAAAAAGTGATTGCCGTTTTGGTTTATTTCCGTTTTGTCCAGAAACCAAAATATTCCTATTAAACGTTCAGTTTGTTTTGTTTACGAGGGTTCATTGATTCAATAAATTCCTTAATTGTTCATACTTAATAGTGAATTTGAAGTAATTTTCTTCGGGTTCTATTTAAGCTTAAACCGAAAGGTCAACTGATTAATCTCAGATAAGATAGTATAATACATACTCCAAGTATCGAAATGCACGCCATCGTGTCGGGATTCAATATTTCTACATGAATTATGTCATCATCAGGAATGAAAAATTATCCATATTTGCAAGCTTATATGCACAAGTACCAAAAGTGATTGACCAATCAAAACATTACTCCTAGTAGGTGACATAGTTATGAATATAAACTAAAGATAAAAAATGGCAGAACAAAAATGTCTCTCATTTTATATCTACTAAAGATAAAATTGCATTTCGATACTTGGAGTATGTATTACACTATCCTAATTAAGCTTGTTTTACGAAAGTAATTTTCAATTACAATTCAATTTTCATCGCGGTACGGTGCGTGATGTCTTCGCGGCGACGAAAAATGAAAAAATTTTGCACACGAACCTTAAAAAAAATCAAGCCAAGCATCCACTAATTGAAAAATTATTGGACTGTGGGAGATAGGCAAATACCATTTCGTCGGAGTTGCAGTGATGACTAAAATTAAAAGACGGCGATTGACTTATAATATATTTTATGTATCAGTTGTATGTGTGTTAGTTCTATATTATTGTACTAATTAGCCTAAGTCTCGGGGAAATACTTTATTAAACAAAAGGAAATGGATTTAAGCTTAGGGTCAAGTCACTCCACCAATCAACAGGTGCACAATCGTCGGAATATTCCAGACGTAATGAAAATATTGAGTGTTAGAACCCCTAGCAACCATGACATTTAGGGTTCTTAACGATTTATTAAATCGATTTTAGGGTCTACTTATTACTTAAAACAATGTTATTTTATCCCAGACAGACAAATTTTCTTATCAACGACCATCGGCGGAGAGACCTGAGCCCCTCCCCCACTGCCTGAGCCATACCCGTTTAGATGTGTTATTAACTTTCATAATCGAATAGATTAGCAAAACAATTACAGACTGACAATTGACAACAAGGTAGGCCTACAACCAGCGAGGTGCGAGAGCTAAAATAAAATGACAAAATATATTTAATATTAAAAATACAGATATACAAAATACGATTACTGTACTTGTCAATTAAGAGATAACACTTTAAAAAAACCCAAAAAAATAGAACCACATAGGAAAGTACTTTAGGCAAGATAAATGATACAGTATAAAGTATATGAATCTATGGGATGAGTGATACTGTAATATAAAACACTAATACTGTATTAACAAAACTCATTCAGATATTACAAAATAATTCCTTTTACCGTATTTACTTAGATAACGCCCCGCCAGTGGCGTAACGCCTATACGCTCTCATTTAGCGGTCCGCTGGCCTCCGACTAGTAAGGGCCCCGAAGGGGCCCTACCCATAGGTTCGTCTAGCACCTGACCAAAAAGGACTTTGTTCATACATAACACCATAATGTTTCTCTGAAATCGACTGTAGAGCATATATCATATTATACCCAGTGACGGCGGAGACCAAAATGGGCCCCCAGTTTCAGAAAGCCACAGGGCGCCGGCCCCATCGTTACGCCACTGCGCCCCACTTTGAATATACACCCTCTTTAGAGGCTTATTTGGAATAAACGCCTCCATCGAATACCCCCCCACCAAAATTTAAACAAATCTAATGGAAGCAACATCATTCTCAACACATTGTTTTATGTTCCACTCCAGTAGAATTACATTTTGTTCAATTTAAATTTTTTCAGCTATTTGAGGCATACACAATTTTATATTATCTTTTAGAAAATGTGACATTTGACATCACATATCATTACAGGCTAACATTTATCCATGGTATATTACTAATGAAATTGAAAATCCTGAACTTGTTTATGTAACATAATCTATATTCTCTAACAGACCCTCAAATGCTTTTAAAAATTCAAGCACGTCAACATGATGGCATGTCTATAACTGGAGTCTATCGTATTTGTTAATTATTATGTACAACACGAATTATCTCATTTAAGATTAATCAGCAGACATGGTAAAACATTACAAGTTTGTGCATGTATGGCACAATGTATTTATTTAACTTTACATATTACATTATATACTGTATACTGCTTTATACAAAAATTGCCAAGGAAATTACATTATTACCTTGGTAAATGGAAACCTGCAATGACATGAGACAACATGCAACTCCTCTTCTCCTTTATACAAGAAGAAACATATGTTAATGACATTATTACCAGCAGTGGCACTCTTTAATCCTGTCAAACAGGCCTGAACAATCCAAATCTCCACACAATTTTGGGCCATACTAAGCTACAAAAATCTCTTATTATTATATAATCTAAGAATATATATACACAACTTTTCAATACAAAAGGCATTTTTGTTCATTTATGATTAAAAAAAACCAAAAAAAACTGTATTGTATTTATTGCATTAAACCATTTCGAATACATTAAGTTAGATACACAATTAATTAAAACCAAGTTATTTCTTCCAAATCATTTCTTTTGATGTTAAATTTTAAAAGATTATAATAAAATTAAATAAAATTTGTACCAACAAAGTATCAAAGGCCACTATTCACAATGAAAAAGTTTTTTCTCCACACACAATTTCCACAATAAATAAATCTTGAAAGAATTTCATCAGGTTTCAAGACAGAGGTTGTGTGGTTCCCAGCAAGGTGAGGACTGTATTAAGTCAATGTACAGATTAGAGAATTCATGTGTGGCTTTATCGCTCTTATGTTGATGATTTGCTTGTTTGTCTGGCTTTACGCTTTAGCTTCTTTGCTAGAAAAGATGTCATTATACTAGGCCACAATATTAACTAGAAGTCAGTTGATAAAGATCTCTGATATTAGATCGAAATATTTTGTTATCACTGACCACTCAATGCAACACAATCATCGGGGCGGATTAAGAGATGTCTGAAAGTGGGGGCGATCAAGACAATACTTATCTAGGGGCAATCCCCCACAAATTTGTTGTTTTCTAAACGCCCGAAAATAACCTCTGAGGCATTTTAGCTAATCAATTATTTCTTTTTCCTTTTTTTCTTTCTTTTTTAACTTTCCAAAGGGTCTGGTCCCTCCTCTAAATCCGCCCTTTGATCATTAACCAAATTGGAAGGCTAATATACTGTACTAGCAGGGATTCAAAACACAATGGCAGACAAAAGCAACATTACACATAAGAATAAACAAAGTTATACCCATGAGCAGGGATAAAGACATGATACAATGATCTAATATCATCCTCACCTGGCCAGACCCAGCACGACCTTCAAGCGAGGGAAACTTATAGCATAAATGACCAAGCTGCAATACCATGAAGCAGTTGTTAAAGACTGCTCTGATAGACATTCAAATGTTCTGAGAAAGTGCTCCATTCATTTTATATAGCCTTTACAAAAGAGAAATTGTCATCTATACACCATAAATTTTGCTTTTTATTCCTTAAAAATGATTAATTTAATAATAATATATAAAACAGATTTATAAAATTCAATAGTGGCTAGTTAAGATAAGTTTATGCCACCTTTAAAAAACGATTTAATTCAACTAGTTGACAGTAATACTAGTGGTAACATCCACGATCTTGCAACTATGCATGGCTGGAAGAGGTTACGTAGCTGGTTGCCTAGACTGCTTATGTTGCTTCTGACTGTATATTATCTACTAGTTGCCATGCCTGCCAGCATAACAACAAAAAATTATTTACAATGGACTAAATGTTATTACCCTGTTCATTGGATTCAATATGGCACACATCCCAACATTCAAAATGTTCTGCTTTCAAAAGAGAATTTCTTGCAGAGTAGTGATACAATTCCAATTCACAACAAACCACCAGCTATCCCTTGTTGTTCTTGGGTGAAGAGAGACAGGTAGACACTGTGCCTTACCAACAGACACAAGCGAAAAATACAGAGAGACAGATTTGAACACCCACCTCATTTTTGATCTAAGATTATGAATTAGTGTGTTTACACTGAGCCACTCTGTACAGCACAATAGGGAGGGGGCCGGGTACTCGGCTTTATACCATGTAATTTTGTCCAGGTAACTATCTGGTCTGGAATCTCCGCTAATACTTCTTTAGCAAGTTGAGCTTGGATTGCCCCCATATCTCTGTTGCCTGAGCGGTGAACAATTTCATTAAATGGTACAAACTGAAAAAAAGGTAAGTCAAAAAAATTAGAGAAAACAATTTGTAACAAAGTTTCTCAATGGCCATAAAAATCATCCAGTTATTATTATGATCATGAGTACACGTCGAAAACCTTCTTAATTATTAATCAATCCATTTTAAAACCATTCTTAATCCTTGTCCAAGCTATCAAATTTTATTTGACAAAAACATGTGACATGCCTAAATATGGCAACGATATATATATATATATATATATATATATATATATAT